AAAAAAATTTTAGGGAAGGGGGGAAAACGATTCCAAGTTTAAAAGTTGTTCCTATATATTTTTTAATTTATTTAGAAATTTTTTTAAAAAATGAAAACTAATTGTTAAAAATGAGAAAGGAATATCCCAAATTTTTGGGGATGGAGGGTCATGGTTCTTATTCACTGCACTTCTACTCAATGAGATTATTTACACACAAAGTTTTAAGTTGATACCTTTTATAGTTCTCAAGTTATGTCCCGGACAAAGTTCAAAGTGTACAATGAACAAAGGGCAAGGCAGAGTAATGATTCATTTGCACTGCACTACTTAACAATGAGATCTATCTAACCTACAAAGGTTCTTGTTATCATACCCCTTGTCCTTTTAGAGTTATGTCCCGGACAAAATTCAAAGTGTTAAATAAACGAAGGGCAATAACTATAAAATTTGGCAAGGCAGAGTTTAGGTTCTTTTTCACTGCACTTCTAGTCAATGAGATCTACTGTCCTAAGATGATAATTTGGTCTTAACGGTACATGGGTAAGTCGAAAAACGGGGTTATTCTGGATTATTATCCGATATTGTAAAAGTAAACACTTACATATACTATATAGCATTATTCTTACAGAATCGTTTGTGTATTACCGTTATGGCTCTGTCGGTAGGTCGGAGTAATTGTTATTATTAGTGTTTTGTACTCATAGGTTCGAACCCCACTAAGTGTCATTTTATAACCACAGTTTTTTCTTCTTTCTCTGTTTTTAGCTCACCTTGCACAAAGTGCAGGTGAGCTTTTAGGATGGCCAACCAAATGCGTCCGTCGTCCGGTGTCCGTCCACATTTTATTCAGACGACATCTTCTACAATACCACTTTGCCAATATTAATGAAACTTGGCAGGAATACTCATTGTATGAAAAACTCTATCAAGATTGTTCAAAGAATGCCATTCCATGTTGAACTCTGGTTGCTATGGCAACTAAAAGAAAAAACTTAAAAGTTCTTATACTTCAAAATGGAAAGGGCTAGAGCTTAGATATTTCTCACAAGGCATTAGCTTGTTAGTTCCTACAAAGTATATTCAAATTATGGTCTAAAGCTGAAAATTGGTCTCTATTTTGGGAGTTAAAGGGGTTTTTTTATTGCAAAGTTATATAGACTTTCTGTGTAGGGATAAATTGAGACAGTGTATCTTGTATTTTTTGTCTCAACAGACATTGTTATGAAGATTTTTCTTTTAAAGCATAAGAAGGATGAAAAGTTTGTTGAATGTGAATGTTAATTCAAAACAGAGTCGATCAGAATAGCACAAATTTGAGAGCTACAGTGAAGTTGATTTCCCCATTCAATAATGGTTTTTTCCATTAATTTCGTAATATCATCAGAAAGGAAGACTGTGTCATTTCAAAAATACAATTGTAAAATATTTCGGTTCTTGACAATGACTTGCACATTTTATTGTGTATGAAATTGCACAAAGAAACAAAAAATGTTGTTTTTTTTCCACAAAAATTAGTTGATTAAGATAAAAGTTTAATTTACAGTACGGATATTACATTTTATATCCTTCCGGTTTGCGGGAAAAATCATATAGCAGCTAGCTACACCGCACCTACTGATGAACGAATTATGTCATAATATTTCATTCTGAGAACAAAAATAAGATTCGAATCATCAAATAATGCATATCAAATCAAATCAAACCAACAATTTTGCCTCAGAAAACATCTGTATCAATCTGACCTCGAGTTGAGATTATAAATTATACTAAACCGGAAGTACATGACGAAACGTCCGCCGATCAAGAAAATTGAGAAATTTTGTAACATAAACTCGTATTTCACAACAAAGAAGTAAAGATGAATACAATTATCGGTGTGCTTCGTTGAAACAGGTATTTTGTAAACTATTTGTTAAGTATTAAGGCATGACATTCTGTATTTATGTAAATATCACCTCCCGACGTCCCGTGTTATGATTTATAAAATTATACATTTACACATGCGTTATTGACCTCAATAAATGTTAGTGAAAATGGAAAAATAATTATGGTTATTATCCATGGTGCTAGTAATACTTAATTATCTTTATCATTTTGTTAACTAAGCAAGAAAAATACGTAATTTTAAAATAACTTAACCTCACAATATTATCAGTTTATACTTGAAAATCTTCTCAAACAGTAATTTTTGAATTCATTATTGAAACATGAAGATGGTTCATGAAGAGATTAAAAGAGAAGAAAAAACTGAAATGACTCATGAAAATTTTGGTCAAACAGTCTGCCACTTGAAATTTTTACCTTCCTGAGATCCCTGCTAATTGTTGTTGTTCTTTTTTTTTAGAAAGGGTGTTCTAAATTATGATAAAATATGATAAACAAGATCAACAAGGAAAGGCGGCGTTCAATGAACGCAACCCCCATATGACCCAGCAACAAGAACCAGTGGCAAGGAGCCCAGGCGGACCCCAAACAAAAACAGGACAGGCAAAGACAGAGCACGGAACGGAGTTAATCATTAAAACTGATAAATAATTAGTAACTGATTAGGAATTAAAAGAAAATGAAAAATGCCCACAAAAGGGGATGGGGACAAACCACAGATGCTTGGCCAACATGATTACCCGCTGAGTAAACACTATCCAAAAATATTTTGATATTTAAAACATTTCTAATGGGATATCTGTTTCAACTTTAATACTGGTTTTCGAAAAAAAAAATCATATATGAAAAAATAAATAACTGTTTACCATCCTGTATTGAGGCTTGATTCTTGGCAGGCAGGCGAATTGGTTGGACTATTGTCGTAACAGTTTCTCAGCAACTACTTATCAGAGCCTCATGATATTTAGTATGCAGCATTAGCACATTGTCCAATACCATGAGATTCGATTTAAGGTCTGTCGCTCATCCACTTCATGTTTACTGACTTAGTTAAATTCATAATAATGGTCAATGGTATGAATATTTCGTAACAATTTTCTCATTAGTTTAATTCATAATAATGGTCAATGGTATGAATTTTTTGTAACAATTTTCTCAGCAAACTACTTATTACAGCCTCTTGATGTTTGGTATACAACATTGATATGATTTCAGGTATGTGGCTCATCCACTTTCAGTTTTCTGACCTAGTGAAATTTCAGCATTAATTGTAAATGGAAGGAAAATTTCCGTAACAGTTTTCTTAGCAACTACATAGCACAGCCTCTTGAAATTTGGTATTGTGACTGCAAAAGTTCAGGTCTATCGCTTATCTTCTTCCTGTTTACGGACTTAGTTAAATGTTCGATATGAATGGTCAATGGTAGGAACTTTTTGTAACATCACAGCCTCAGGAGTCATGTTATTTGGTATACAAATGCAAACCGGCCATTTTTGTCTTTGACCCATTTTTATTGAAGTATGATCCAAATTTGTACTTCGTCTTGTTTATGATGATGTCATTGTTAAAATTTTCATGATGTAAACACGCCACAGGGAGTGTATTTTTTAGCAACCTGTACATTAAAGAAAACAAAAAAGAGGTATTTCTATACACTTGTTTGCATTCCTGTTGGCCAAAAATACATTACATTTGACACGAACCTTTAAATGACATTAAAGAATTTTATAAACCTTTTTTTTTTAAAAGAAAAATACTTTATAAGATCTATTCCTAAGGTGAGCGATATAGGGCCATCATGGCCCTCTTGTTTATCGTTATTCTTTATTTATTTTTCGTTTTCCATTTTGTTTTATTCATAAAATATATTTTTTATAGAATATAATAATTAATTTTTTTAAAACCATTCTATTTTCTTTTTGTATTTTTGATCGCAGTGTAATAAAATATTCGATATCATATTCATGTATGTATATGAAAAAAACGGTAAAACTTGTTTTCTGAATAATTGGCTGTTCTGAGGTAAAAAAATGTGTCTAACCAGTAGTCGAACTTCTGCCTGTACAGGTAAAACACATTACTGACGCGGTTGCTCTACCTACAGCGCTAACAAGTCATATGATAATATGTAGTTTTATTTTCATTTTTTTAGGTTGTGGCATTCATCTGCCTAATCTATTTTTCGCATTGTTATTGGTCTTTGTTATGTAAACAAAGGCTCAAGTTATCATCCTAGGACAGTATCTACCTACAAAGTTTCCTGTAAATACCCTTTGTTGTTCTAGAGTTATGTCCCGGACAAGAAATCTGCACAGGACGGACCGACCACAAGATGACTCCAGTAAACCCCCCTTACACTTCGTTTGTCGGGGTATTACAAGCAAGTGTCTCTTTTTACTTGAAATACCCCTGTCAAAGGGTACAAATCATTTGAATGAAGCTTCTTGAAGTCCTTTTAAAATATAACATTTTTACATTAAGGTATCATTCTAACTTTTTAACGTCATTTTGTTTTCGTTTAATGCATGTTTAAGTTAGAAGGTTTCAGGAGTAATCAAAGAATGTTAATACTTGAATATCATATTCATTTCATTATCATATTCATTGAATCCAATAACACCAGGAATAACCAAAAGCTAAATATTAACTCTTGTATCTTATTGATTATAAAAATCATGACGTTTCAATTCATTAAAAGTTTAACATATATTTTATGGAATAATTATTAAAATCCTAATATGTAAAACTTTAATCACATAACCTGGATTTCATATATACTAAAAAAAAACAACCAAGCTTAGTATTAAAATAACTATATGCTGTAATTGGTAACAAAAGTTTGCAATAGACTTATGGTTCTTGGAAATTGTATTTTTCATGAATGAGATTATCAATGTTTAACATTTCAAGTAAATATCTTTAGTGCCTTTGGTTAATGGAACAAGAAAATTTAAATGCAAAATATGACTTAAACTTACTTAAAAAAGGATTATGGTTTTATTGCAGCGCACACCCCCTCAATATAATTAAAAAGGCTTTGATTTTTTAGATGATATATTCAATACCTTTTGACTTATCCATAGACAAAAATTAAGTATGAAAAAATGCAGTTAGCAATAAGTCTCAAATTATGCAAAGGTGAGCTGTGGTTCTTTGAAACTGCACTTTGGTTATATGTAATCTAACAATCTTATAAGTTTCCAGTAAATACAAAATAATACAAAGGGCAATAACTATGATGTCATGCAATTTTGCTTGTGCACTTCCATCTTTCATCTACCTGTGAAGTTTATTATATACATGTTAAATCCAAAGTCAAATCTTTTATTACTTAAGAAATCCATAAATAGAGTCCATATCTTTTTTTTCTTCTTCATTATGAAAGGTTTTGCAATTAAATTTTGAGAAGAGAGTAATGAAGTTTTGGCACTACACTTCTCAATAATATGTAATCACATATAGTGTTTACGTTAAATACTGTAACATTTACATCTAGAGTGACAGATTGGACATTGTTTCAGTTTCTGAGAAAGAAAAAAAAATTCCCAAGTTTCTTTTTAGCTTCTGCAATCTCTTCATGCAGTTTCAACTCAATGTATCAATTACATTTGTTTTGATAAGAAATATAAAAAAACGCTTAACTTTGAACTAAAGGGAAGATAAATAAATAAACAAACCTTTGGTAGACGTCCTTTAAAATGGGGTAAATTAGTCTTGGCTGAAAATATATAAATCATGTTGAGTATTGCAATTTGTAGGTACTTAATCTTTCGTAACAGAAATATTCTAAATTGAATTATTGATTATATCCAGAATTAAGATCTTGAAAATTTTTATTCATGAGTAAAATATTTATTGCAGCAATGAAAAATATAATATCCCAGACCTTTAGTTACAAACAAATAATTTCTGCATTATAATGTCTAATAACCCAAATCATCAATAGTGTAATAATTTTGACATTATGCTCATTATTTTCCTTGTTGATAAGCTGAGCAGGCTATATATATTTAAACAGACAATCATTACAGTCATAGACCATTTAACTGATAATGAAAAATGTTTCTGATAAAACAACTGCCTAAAATATATAAAGACTGCTTCCCTTCTTTTGCCCAGTGAATGTTAATGATACAATCTAAAGGATACTTAAAAAATTTATGAGTGTCATGTGGGTTATCGATTATACACATAAAAAAACTTTAAATTTGCATTATGATTCACACTTAAATGGGCATAATGTCATCAAATAACAGGACGGCTTGTATATGCAAAAAAATAGTTATTTTGCACAAAAGTCATCACTGAATTGTCTAAAATTAGAGTTATTACAATGTACTTAGAATTGATAAACATTCAATTAAAAAAGTAAAAATAATTTATGTAAATGCACACATTTATAGAAAAATTCAAGCTTATATGCATGCCCACAAAATAACAGGAAAACTTTTATGTTTGTATATTTTGTTTTTACTCAAAACGCCAATTCGTCTTTCCTTCAATGTGACCTCATGAATGGTGCAATAAACGTTTCTATGGTTTTTATTTGTTTGGGTCGTCAGACCAAACAAATAATGGTAGCGAAATTTCAGACCCTGATGTTCTTATTTGCAAATGCCGAAAGTAGTCAAAACTCCTCGAAGCGATTTCTTCCCTTTTTATGTACATTAACGCCGAAAAATTAAGGGGAGATCACTGCGTAAAGATTGTCAAATTGCCTCAGACCACAATTAATTTTACTATATGTTCTATATAAACATTAAACCCTGTGGCAATTTTACTAACTCTCAAATCAAATCAAAGTCACTTGTGCTTACAGTATCATCCAAGATAAATAAATCCAGCTATAGCAAACTAGGGGTCATCAATCATTTTTTCACAGCATTTCAGTCCAAAATACATCAGTCTGACAGTTTTCAGTAATTAGCCGGAACCATGTGAATTCTGTCATGTAGAAAAACACTAAAAAATACTAACTCACATAAAATCTGGATCAAAATTGGCATTTACCCACTATTTGTAATGAATTCTGTCAGAAAATGTCCTTTATCTATCTCTTTCATTCAATTATTCATTTATATCTGGCATTAAACACAGGCACTCTTTTATGCGGATTTACTTCCTTATTGTGGTCAACGAAAGGCAAATAACTATGGACTGATTCCTATTTACTCAAAAATAATCATCTGATCTTAATAAAATTTGGCATACATCATTCCTAGGCTATCTTATATTATTCTGGAAAGTTTCGAGTTTTAATCACATATACTGATGAATTCACAGCCTGTTATGTACAATAGGTACCATTCAGCCCTAAAGCCAGGCCGCAGCTTATCAAATTAAAAGTACTCTAAAACTAAAATTATTACTTGGATGATTTTCATCAAATAAAAAGTAATCTCATCAGTGATTCAAATATTACTTAAATATAAAACTAACATAAATAAACTTTTTTCTTAAATATCTTTTTTAGACCAAATATATTCAAATTTAGCCATATTACATAATACTATAACTGCATTACATAATTGTTGTAAATTCTCATTTTGTCAAACCGGTTATTTCTTGAAAGGCATGCGTTTTACCTTTAAAATGATGTTTCATTTATAAGCCAACTGGTTCAAAAGTTATGTCCAGCAGAAAAGTGCCACTGCCTAATAATTACCTCCCCAGGTAATGTGGTCCAATGCTCAGCATTCCACAGACTGTTACCCCAGGTACTAATTACCACCCAGGAATGCCAAAGTCTGGGTCCCTCTGGGTGATTTTTGAAAACCACCTTTGAAGAAATTCCAGAAATTCCATTTACTATATAAATATGGACCCAGCTCCTGACTCTTTATCAAAAAGCAACTTACCTTCATACTATACACAACTGCTGTACAATTATGCGAGGCGACCGAAAGAAGAAATTAGCTGGGTTCAAGCAAGGGCACTCACCATGAAATAAAGGCTTTTTATTACTTGGGGACCATACGCCGCTTTTCATGGAATGGCACGGAAGTGTCACATTGAAGGTTCCATGATAACCGCCGTATGAACACATCTGCGGATGTTTCTAAATTCAAAATTTTACTATATCACGTTTAAATGTTGAATTCTGCTTAAGCCGGTGCTAGAGGGCGTGGACGGTAATTTGCACTTTCCAGTACCGTCCATGAACAGGCTCAATCAAACCGAGCCTGCAACATTTTCAATTTTGCCGTGTTGGGCTTTCTTTAGGGATTCTGTATTTATCTATTTTATGATCACATCCGTGTTATTTGTGCCGTGTGGCGGCTGTAAAAAGTCTCCCCGTACATTTAATCAATGATGTTATATTTTCGATCCTTGAAGATCGTTCAGCACGACATTATTGTTGTGCTTGTGGTATTTTTAGTTTCAACTTTTCGGCATTTTCTATATGGGTGGTTCCAATATTCCTACTTGAATAATGTTGAATCACCCTTAGGATATGTTGCCTGCTTTTTAAATTTGTCTTTTGACGTCTTATCTGTGATACGCAGGCTTCATAACCTCTGATCCCCTTTCAAAATTCCATTTTATTTAGTTCCGCCCATTGTTTTCTCGTTTAGGGCACACGCTTTTTATTACTTGGGGACCATACGCCGCTTTTCATGGAATGGCACGGAAGTGTCACATTGAAGGTTCCATGATAACCGCCGTATGAACACATCTGCGGATGTTTCTAAATTCAAAATTTTACTATGTCACGTTTAAATGTTGAATTTTGCTTAAGCCGGTGCTAGAGGGCGTGGACCGTAACTTACATTTTCCAGTACCATCAATGAACAATCTTAATCAAACAGAGCCTGTGCAACATTTTTCAAATTTTGCCGTGTTGGGCTTTCTTTAGGGATTCTGTATTTATCTATTTTATGATCACATCCGTGTTATTTGTGCCGTGTGGCGGCTGTAAAAAGGTCTCCCCGTACATTTAATCAATGATGTTATATTTTCGATCCTTGAAGATCGTTCAGCACGACATTATTGTTGTGCTTGTGGTATTTTTAGTTTCAACTTTTCGGCATTTTCTATATGGGTGGTTCCAATATTCCTACTTGAATAATGTTGAATCACCCTTAGGATATGTTGCCTGCTTTTTAAATTTGTCTTTTGACGTCTTATCTGTGATACGCAGGCTTCATAACCTCTGATCCCCTTTCAAAATTCCATTTTATTTAGTTCCGCCCATTGTTTTCTCGTTTAGGGCACACGCTTTTTATTACTTGGGGACCATACGCCGCTTTTCATGGAATGGCACGGAAGTGTCACATTGAAGGTTCCATGATAACCGCCGTATGAACACATCTGCGGATGTTTCTAAATTCAAAATTTTACTATGTCACGTTTAAATGTTGAATTCTGCTTAAGCCGGTGCTAGAGGGCGTGGACGGTAATTTGCACTTTCCAGTACCGTCCATGAACAGGCTCAATCAAACCGAGCCTGCAACATTTTCAATTTTGCCGTGTTGGGCTTTCTTTAGGGATTCTGTATTTATCTATTTTTTGAAGTTTGACAACTCTTGTCATGTAGATACTGAGCCTAAGAGATCTATCACCAGACTGACTGTAGATGAATTTCCAGTGACATCCAGGCCTACTGCAGATGGTAGTGAGCTCTCTGGAAAGGCCATGCTGCTGCGACCAAGTGCTTCTGCGACTTCATCTACAATGAAAAAAATTGACGATAAAAATTCCTGTTCGGGCATGAGAATTGTTGACAGTGAAGAGATGTCAGGGGCTTTCAATGAGGCATATAGAATTCATCGGCAGGAGGCAAATGAATGTTAGCAGCCTAACTTTCATTTACCGAGGAAAGAACAGTTGGTCTCTGCTGGACAATTTCATTAAAGTGTGACAACTGCAGCTTTATCACACCATTTTACAAGCTTTATAAAGAGGTTTCATCATTAAAAAGGGGTCCAAATGCTGCAACAGCAAATGTGAGTCTTGCTGTAGGCCTTCAAGACACACCAATAGGGAATACAAAATGCCGCTACTTACTGACAAGTATTGACATCCCACCTCCAGCAAGAAGCAGCATGCAGAGAACATCAAACACTGTGGGCAGTGCGATAAAACAACTAAATGATGATGACATGTCAGAGAAGATCAACAAAGTAAAGGAGATCAACCGAAAACGAGGCTATCCTGAGAATGCTATCAACATTGCTCTGGATGGACGTTACAATTCAAGCACTATCGCAAGCCGTAAGAAGGCAGGCCAGAATGCTTCGCAGTCTATTGCTATAGCCTGTGAGATAATTACAGAGAAACAATACATTATAGCTGCTGCAGTCCAGAATAAGCTTTGCTGGACAGGTGCCTGGCTTCGCGGAAAAGGATATGATGTTACATGTCCAGGTGGGCATGCTGGCTGTACAGCAAATACTTACCGGCATGCACCGCTTTCAGAATATGAACTTGGGAAATCAATTGGAAAAACATTGAATGCTTAAAGTGCCTTTATAAGATACGTGAAAACAGATGGTGACTCTAGATCAGCTGCCGGTGTTTCCGAGGCCATGCGATTGCTTGACCCTATGTGGAAGGTGGAGCGCCAGGCAGACCCAATTCATCTTGGCCAAGCACAGTTCCGGTGCTGTTATAAAGCTCACTTCAGTTATGGTATGTTCCCAAGTGCAAAGACCAGAGACCAAAGGCATGAACAACAGAAGGCATTAAGCCAGGACATAAAGGCTAGATGTAACTTTATACTAAAAGAGCTTATGAGAATTCATACTGGAGATATGAATGCTATCAAAAAATATTTACCTCGTGTTCTGGATGCTACAGTGAGCTGTTATGCTGGGGACTGGTCTAATAACAGCTGGGGACTGCTCTAAGTGTAGACGCTACTCATACGTGTGTTCTGGTGGAGTAACAAACAACTGGTGGAACCGCTCCATGTTCCTCGGCAGCCATAGAATCAATCTCATTAAAATCATATCCTAATTGTCGCTTCACTACCCTACGCTCGTAGCGAAGAGTAACGGAGCAAAAACGATGATCTGATTTTAATGAGATTGCCATAGAATTACAAACCTGTGCCTACAAGAGAATGACAAACAATTAATTTTTGACTTAGTTAAAATGAAAATAAGTGTGAGCGCTATCGAACAGATGAAATTGGGCACCAGCACGCAGAAATGTGAAGCGGTGAATCGATCTATTAGTGTGTCGCTACCAAAAAATAATGATTTCGCACGGAATATTCATGGACGCCTTAGTTCTACCATTCACCGCTTAAATAACGGTGTTGCGGACAGCGCTGAGAAGAAATTGGGGTGTTTTGGGATTCGTCTCTCTGAGAAAACAGCTAATAGCCTACATCAAATGCAAAGAGAAGAAACATATCAGAGACAGTATTCAAAAAAACCTGAACAAGGTAAACGCAAACTTTTATCAAAGGGTAGACAACTCCATGAACATCTGAAATACAAGAAGACACACTCTACAATGTCAGATTATAAGAAAGGTCAGCTGGATCCAACACCATCAACATCCAAGGGAGGCAACAGCGACCATACTTACTCAGTAAATCTATAATTATCACCCTTGATATTAACAGATACAAAAAACAGTGTTTCTTCAGTGGGGAATAAATATTCGGTTGCGCGCGACAAAACCAGCTTAAACAAATGTGCTGTCTGTTTACAGACCTGAAATTCAAACTTAACAAATGGTTTACTTAAAAAGTGACGGAATATTTCTTTTAAAGCGAATTTCATATTTCATTACTGTATCATTCTACATAACCTGCATGATGTTTTGAAATTGTTATCATATCTGTTGTTATTTTACACTGTGAAATAAATGTTATATAAATCAAATCACAGGCTTGGGTGGTTCCAATATTCCTACTTGAATAATGTTGAATCACCCTAAGGATATGTTGCCTGCTTTTTAAATTTGTCTTTTGACGTCTTATCTGTGATACGCAGGCTTCATAACCTCCGATCCCCTTTCAAAATTCCATTTTATTTTGTTCCGCCCATTGTTTTCTCGTTTAGGGCACACGCTGTTTATTACTTGGACACCATACGCCGCTTTTCATGGAATGGCACGGAAGTGTCACATTGAAGGTTCCATGATAACCGCCCTATGAACACATCTGCGGATATTTCTAAATTCCAAATTTCGCCATTTCCATATCCTGCTTAAGCCGGTGCTAGGGGGCATGTAAGGTAACTTGCATTTTCAAGGACCGTCCATGAATACGCTCAATTGAACTGAGCCTGCAACATTGTCAATTTTGCCGTGTTGGGCTTTCTTTAGGGATTCTGTATTCATCTATTTTAGCATTTCTTTGCAATGACAGAGTGCTTTAAGTAAAATTTCACAAGTTTTCATGGACTGTGGCTGTTTATAAGCAATTATTTAAAGTCTAGCACATGTGAACTGACCAATTTTACTTGAAATACACTGTTATTGCTTAACAAGTAAAAAAATGGGAGCAGAAACATACTTGTAGGATTGTAATAGGAGTCCTTTAAATGTAATCTAGGACAATATAAGGAAATATGCAATAAAATGAAATAATAAAGAATAAATGAAAGGACAAGTAAGCACTCACCAACCTTTATCCCGAGGCCATCAACACCTTAAATATGTCTCTTCAACAAAGCGATTACTTACCTCAAACAAATATACAGTCTCGGTATACCCCATGGCCGCAGCAAATGGCCCGGTTCACACATTTAAGCCTTTCGGTATTGATGGAATGGGGCTCAATGCTCAAATGGTTAGCACTGACACACAGTGGCACGTGACATAGGTGCGAGACCTCTAAATCTGGTTCAACATACATAATTTTATTGTGAACCAGGTATAGAAGTCTATGAACATGCATGGTGTGCCACTGTGCATCAGGAAACTTGGCATTAATAACACCATAGCCCACTGGTCCTTTTTTATACAGCCCTGCCATATCATACAGCCCTGTCTGTTTAGCACAGATTTTTCATTTATTTTTTCTAAATACTTTTTAAAAAATGCTTTCATCTTAACTTGTTTTGAAAGGGAGGCTGTAACCTGTACAGGAAATGACCTCTTGGCTATTTTTAAACAGACATTTTTAAACTGAAAGTAGCTTTTTGAGATTTTTGTTATAAATGTATATATTATTATATAATATTACATAATACAAAGAAAATGAAAGCATTTGTGTCATTTAACTACAAACTCAGAGTTATACATCAATTATCTGCTTCATGACCAAGTTTCATTAAAATTGCTTTAAAAATGATAAAGTTATTACCTGTCAAATATATTTACTCCATGTAAAAACAAGCTTTTAATCAGGCCTCAGACCACAATTAATTTTACTATATGTTCTATATAAACATTAAACCCTGTGGCAATTTTACTAACTCTCCAATCAAATCAAAGTCACCTGTGCTTACAGTATCATCCAAGATAAATAATTCAAGCTATAGCAAACTAGGGGTCATTCATCATTTTTTCACAGCATTTCAGTCCAAAATACATCAGTCTGACAGTTTTCAGTAATTAGCCGGAACCATGTGAATTCTGTCATGTAGAAAAACACTAAAAAAATACTAACTCACATAAAATCTGCATCAAAATTGGCATTTACCCACTATTTGAAATGAATTCTGTCAGAAAATGTCCTTTTTCTATCTCTTTCATTCAATTATTCATTTATATCTGGCATTAAACACAGGCACTCTTTTATGTGGATTTACTTCCTTATTGTGGTCAACGAAAGGCAAATAACTGTGGACTGATTCCTATATGACAGGCGCATTAATTTTCGTAACGAAAAAATAGTTCCCGATTGGTCGAAGATTTCTAATATTATGTTATTCTTATAGATATACATGCTTGTATTCAGCTCCATGATTATTTACTTCAGTGTTAAACAACAGGTTTACCGTGTGAACAAAATATATCGAAATTAATAACGGTTACGAACTCTGATTTAGAATGATATGGTTTTCTTCAGACTGTTATCGTGGTCGAGGGGTTTACACGCTCGCTTTGGAAGCGAAAGGTCTGGAGTTCAAATCCCAGTTCAGGCATTTTTTTTTCTTTTTTAAAGCCAAATAAGCATTGAATTAAATATCAGTGCAGTGCAATTAGTCTTATAGCAAATTTACTTTAGTTACAACACTGGAAACAGCATTGGTGACACTATACAAACAAATTGGTTTATAATCTCACAACCTTCACCTTTCTGACATTCTGAGACCCAAACAAATTCAGCGCCTTCTGTGCTTTGATTTTCTTCAGCATCATACGTGTTTACCTGCAATCATATTGTTGTTGTACAATTGTTTTGCTCTGATTTGTGCCCTGTATTCTCGGTACAATTTTTTTATTGACAATTTCAAATGTGTCCTCCATGATCACGTCAAGATAATGCATAATATTGTTAACATAAGAATATTAAATGGATTGAGATAGAGTAAAAGGCTTTTCAGCGTTGGTTACATGATATCACAATCGATGATTCAGTGAGGAATGGGAAAGCATCATAACATAATGTAAACATTTTGTAAAGCAATTTAATATACACATTATTAATCACGGCATACAAATTACCATATAATTCATTTTTGCCATCAATAAACAATACAATCCGTATTCATTCTTATAAGTTTTGCATCAAAAATAACATAAACAACGTGTTTTATTTTATTACTTAGTTTCCGTAAAACGTTGTTGTTTTTTGCCTGTCATGATGTAATGAAATACTTCACTTAAATATATAGCCAGGTGGAATGGTATTACGGCACATTAACACAGTTCTATTATAGAACATTTCTTAATGTATGTTCATGTGGAATAAGACAGAATAAAACAAGCGAAAACGTACGCTTCCATTTCAAATTAGATTCCAACAATTAATTTATCTGGTTTATTCTTTTAAAAAGTATGAAATTGTATGTGTTATTTTGTCAATGATATCACAATGAATGATTTTCCGGCAGATGCTCTCATCAACAACAACATTACATTTATTGATTGATTCATTGTGATATACGATTGTTATTTGTTTGTTTCATTGGTTTTTAACGGTACATAGACACGTAACTGGCCATACCGCGCCGAACACTATTATTGTTAACATAAGAATAATAAATGGATTGTGATAGAGTTAAAGGCTTTTCAGCGTTGGTTACACGTTACCTTAAGATCGATCTGAGGCCGTTTGTCACCTTTTACACATTTTCTCAAACAAAAACAAGTCTTTGGGGTCTAAATACAGCATTTGTAACTATTTCAGGCATCAAAATGGGAGGAATAGGCGTAAAAGACGTCAATATAAAGTAACAAACTAATTTACATTATCTTTAAAATATGCATGTATGTTTGGCATACTTTTGTTGATCTTTCCATTTTCTATCATTGTCAAGTATAAGCTACACTAACCTTGTCCAAAGAGCATAAATCATATTGTATTTTGTAACAATAAATAATGTGTTATAAAAAATTATGCTTAAGGCGGTGCTAGGGAGTCATAGTTGTGTATAGGTAACAATCGATCGGTAATAAGGCCGATCTGCGAGACTTTTTTTAAATAAAGAGAACTAAAGAATCTCTTAGGAAATCACAAAACGACAAAATTAAAAATGGCGCAGGCTCGGTTTGATTGAGCTTTTTGGAAAGTGCAAGCTATTGTCAACGCCCCTATACACCGGTTTAAGCAGTTTACATTTAGATATTAAGGAAGTATTAGTATGCGTCCGGTCCATGGCACCCCTGCATGCCAACATCAACTATAAATCAACTGAATAACATACTGCCTTGTTTGTTTGGTTAGTTTTACGGAACACCAACAACTGTTCTAGTGAATTACGTTTTCAAAATGAAGCTTAAT